CTCATAGGAAATATTATTTCAGTTGTACAAGAAAGACGCGCAAATTCCGAAAAACACTAGAATACTACGTATATTCAGATAAGAGATAGATCGGACATAAACAAGACCACGTGATCATCGAACGCTGTAACATTCGGCAGGGACGTATTAAGAGTCACGCAGTACATATTTTAGATAGTAGATGCTGCTTTGCGTAACTTTGTAGTAAATTAGCACAATTCGATGTGTATACGATTGGTGATGGATATAGGATCATGTGGGGGTGGGGTAAGAAATATATAATGATGTAAATATACATAAGGGTTTCAAAATTTTCGCTTCGATTTCCAGCTTCGGATGCCGCCTGATGTTTGGTGAAATACAGTCGAATATAATCTCAAAATGGCGTTTAAATTAGCCTAAATTAAAAATAATCGTATATCTCTTAAAATTGCTTTTAGAATATTGATTAGTATATTTTTTGATTTCTAGGTAAATATGTAACCAAATTAAAACGTTCAAAACGTAAAAAAATGTGCATGGTTGAACATTGTCAGAAAGTAGATTCTTGAATAGGTTTTGCCAAAATGGGTTCAAAAATGTCAATAATTAATTAAAAAATACAGTAGCTTTATAATTACTTATAACTTACCGAATTTGATGGACGACATCTTTTATTGGAAAGATGAGCTTGATGAGCTTTCATCATCGCTACTGCCTGAAGCACCAACGTCAATAATGAATGGCTCGACTTGTTCCTCTAAAATATTGTCCAGTTCCCACATTCTCTTTTCAACTTTGTCTTTCACGTGCTTAATACAGTTTTCCCATTTTTGCGCTGTTATTAATTCTAGTGCTTCTTTGAAAAGTCCTTTGAGGTCACAACATTTAAAAGTTGTATTGTGCTTAGCTATATAATTTTTAACCTCTGCCCATATGAGCTCAATGGGATTGAGCTCGCAATGGTATGGAGGTAAACGGAGCACAGTTTTATTTTGACTTGCTGCCATTTCGTCAATGGCGTATTTTTGATATTCCGCCTTGTGATCCTTGACAATTCTTAATAATTGTACTTTCAGCATTGCTTCTTCAAAGTTGATATTTTTCGAGCGGAGCCAATTTTGAACATCAACTTTCCTTGAAGCCGTTGTTGGGACCTTCTCCATTCTCCGAGAATGATCAGGCGCATTATCCAACACAATTACTGCGTTTTCCTCTAAGTTCGGTAAAATTTTTGAAAACCACTGTTCAAACGATTCGCCATTCATTTCCTCGTGGTAATCTCCAGTTTTCTTAGACTCAAAACACCACAGACCGTCAACAACAAATCCATCCTCACTGCCAATATGGCAGATAATGAGCCTTTTCCCTTTACCTGGAAATCGAACTACTAACTGGTGTAGATTTATTTCAATAAGCGAAACTTTTTCAAATGTTTTCATCACATTCAGCGAAAAAACATTGAGACATGAGTATCAGATTGCTATAATTGGGATTATTTAGTCATATTGAAAGAAAGAATATTGAACGTCGTATGATTACTCAGCGCTTCACAATTTAATTTAAAGTTATAAACCTTTAAAAAATGAATGATCAGGAACCTGAAATACGCGCAAATATTAATATTAACAAATTATAACTTTATAAAGCTTAAAGTATGAATTAAAATGATTAGAAATATTAGGAACGGTACACAATATAAAACTTAGTAACTTTTTTTAAGTTTATAATATTCGACATATTTTAAGATTATATTAAAAAATTATTGAAATATCGAAAACACATAAAAACATGGCTTAAAAAAGTTCTAACAAATGAAAATGACAATAAAACATCCACGCATTTTATCGAAAGTTATAAAAGTTTTGTTACTTGTAATATGTTTTATCTGCCCCCTGGAATTAATGTTTAGAACCTTGTTCCCAAGGTTTGAAAAACATCCGATTGTTGTCTATTACTCGTATTTACCTGCTGGATTTTTTAATCCGGTGGACAGTCCATCTAGAAAGGCCCTCCTGGATGAAGTTACAGAATCATCAACCCATACTTTACTTGTAGTGTGTCCTGCGTTTACCCTCGTTTCATCAAGGTAATAAATCTTCCTGTTTTGATTTCTATATTTCCCAATTTTTGTTAAATAATCCCTCCTCCATAGCACAATTTCTTCTCTATCCAGTAGTAAACTATTACGACCCCGTTTTTTCCATTTGAAATTTAAATGCTTCAGTAACGCATGGAAAGTTGATCGTTTGAAATTTGGCAACGTTGTATCTCCATTTACCTCCTGCAGTACTTTATCTATAGTAGGTATTTCATTCTTAAAGAAGAATTCATGCACTTTCCTCCTAATCGCATGCTTATCAGCTTCATCCAATGATTTAACAATACTTTTGCGATGTTTACTGGTCATTGGCTCAGAAAAGGTGTGATTTTTTTTGTATTGTCTTAACACATTAAACACTGATGCGCGACACACCCCAACTTTGTGAGAAACCTTCACAACAATTTCTTTGATGGTTGATGCCTCGTTCTCCTCGCGCTCGATCTTATATATATTCAAAATGACCTCTTTCATTTCTGCTCGCAGGTGTCTTTTTTTAGAGCGTTTCCTAGGTGGACTACAGGAGTTTACAACTTCATCGGCAGTATCTGTACTACTGGGCATTTTGCGCAAGCAGTTGATAACAATAACGATCAATAACAAGGTATAACAATAACAACGACAAACTCAACAACTTAATAAGATAACAAACGAAAACGTCCAAAGAAATATCAAATTGCAATGATGCACACGACATACGTAACACGTCTGAACTGAATGTGACTCTGCCTTGATACGACTGCTCTGCCGCTCGGCATAGGCATTTAATTGCGAATTGACCAATGAGGGCTCCTGTTTTACGTCGAGACGGCGGCGTTAGCGTGAAAATCACCCGAACCTTTTGTTTACATCCGGTCTATCTCTTATCTGAATATACTGTATTCGCATCTATAATGAAATCACATGAAACCCTGGGTATTGAACTGACTGTGTCAAGAATAACAAGCAGGCAAATGAACAGACCGAAAATAGTTACGTCTAACAAGGAAAATCATTACAGACTGAACCTATATGTCCCTTTGCTAGATAATATATTTTGCAGGATTTGGTATACCGGTTCAATGAAGAATCTTTGTATATTTACAATTTTAATACTTTCTTTGCGTCAGTATTTAATTCAAAAACTGAAGCTGAAGTAATGGACATATTAGAAACAATCTCTAATATTTGCATGGACTAAATAGTAACGAAAACAAAAATTTAATAAGTACCAGATTAAAAGCAGAATTTGACCTTTGGAAGTCACGTATACAAGATATTATAGACAGTGGAATGTCACTGTATTTATCATGCGATGAAAACATTTTTCCTTCAATTAATAGATGCCTACAACTATTGATTTCATTGCCGGTAAGTGTTGCGACATCTGAAAGAAGTTTCTCCCATCTAAAGATGATAAAAACTTGGCTGCGCTCCACTATGTTACAAGAGCGATTAGTGGGTATACCTCTTTTGTATATGCATAGGGATATTAAAATAGACGTGAATACAATCATAGATAGGTTCGCCAGCAAAAAGAATAGGCGCCTTGATTTTGTAATATGACAACACCTGAACCTTGCCTAAGGTTGGCTTTCAAATCCATCTCCCTCCTGTTGGCCAATAAATAAAAAATGCAGATTTAGTTAAGGGTTTACTTACGTTTAAACCACCACGGTGATCTTTTCCAAAGTATCAAATCAAGATATGTGGTTTTATTTGTTGGCCAGCAGATTGATATAAAAGTCTGTTTAAATCACTTTCTAAGCTAATGTAATGATTGTTTTATTTCGAGACTGTGAACTGATGTGGTTTCATAGTTTATTATGTTTTTGTTGTTTGAGACTGGATAAGAGAATGTGGTTATGCAATGAATATTTTTTGTGTTTTGCTCATGATTAAGAATTTTATTTTGATTTACATTCAGTTTTATACTTTATAGAAGTCGTAACATATTTGTTATTGTTATTTTTTTCATGAAGATGTATTTTTTGTTGTTTTGTCTGACATTGTTATGTAGAAAAGTCTGTGATAGATTATATAATTTTGCATTTTTGTTTTAATATATGAAGATTGCTCGAGCTTGGTTTGCTTTATTTACACTTTGATTTAGTATGATTCGAAATTAAAAAAAATGTATGTATTTCCTATAGAAATTACTGTAACAAATTCATATGTCTGCATATGTCCATGCTTTTAATTTTAAATCATTATAACACTTCAGTACGTTACACTGAGAATTTATTTTCCATTTTACCCCTCCCAGACTGAAATCCTGGGAGCGCCACTGCTCCTAATGGATAGAATCAACTTGGTATTTCCAGCCTTGACAGAAAGGTCGACCACCCTACACCACGATCAGAGATCGTTCTACAAAAAAGACCCCTTAGCACTATGCTTAAATCGTCAGCATAGATTTGCACATAAGCAACCGTACTGAGGAGCCAAATTGGAGATCGTTCACCGCTAGGCACCACGATAGGGGTGACAGAACTCCGACCTGCGGACAGCCCCGAGCTTCACTGGCGCTGCAGCATACGTCATTCAGCATAGTTGCTGCTACCCGACCCTCCAGAGTGGATAGAACCCAATCAACCAGGAATGATCCAACCCCGTGCCTAATCAAGGCATATCTGATACAGTCGGTTGTAGTGCAATTATATGCACCTTCAATTTTCAAAAAGGCCACTAGTGCCACTTCTCGCTGATCTAGAGTCTTTTCTAGCCTACCGACCAGACTATGTAAGGTCAGATCAGTTGATTTCCCAGCCTGGTATGCGAACTGATTATAATGAATAACACACGCTCCAGCGGATCATCCCTCAAAAATCTGTCGACTACCCTTTACAATGTCTTGAGCACAAAAGTAAGCACATAGTAAAAAGTCTTAGAAAGTTTCTTTAAAATCAACTGCATATAGTAAGTCTTGCACTTTCACCAGATCCAAACAAAATGGTGTCGCCTTCCCCGAAAGACAATAACGTCGGCGAAGACGAAGATCCCACCGATTTGGACATCATCCGACTTCAGCTGAGGAAGCCCAAGAGCTGGAACTGGCAGCTAACCACGTCCAAATCATCACCACATGTCTCACTGCCGACTGTCCAACTCTTGGACTACAAAGGAAGACTTTTGGTGGAAGCGCACGACGGTTGGAATGTGCAGTCGAAAGTGTGGAAGAGTGGAGATCCACGCAAGTATGTTTCTGTATATTATCACTCCATTATATCCAAATGGTCTTTGTGGGAAAATTTTTTCAACTCTGATTCCTTCCATTATGATGCTGAATAGACTGAATATTAGAAAAATTTGAACGTAATTGTAAATTTGGATCTATTCCAGGCATTACCATTTAAAGAAAAGTCGGAGTGATTCTACAGCAACGAGTACCCTTTCAACTCTTAACAAACATTTGGAGCAGATGAAACGAGACTCTGATGTTAAAACGAGAAAGGAATTACCAACTATGGCACCGCTAACGAAATGTAACAGTGAAATGATTGGAAACCGAATTGGTAAGATTTTTTCTAATCCATTACTCGGAAAAAGTGTTGCACAGAATATACTGAACTTCAGAATTTGAAAACGCCTTCTAGAAGTTTTGTTCGGTTGTGCTTCTCAGTGTGTTTCAAACTGTGCGATAAATTCATTCACCAAGGTACGAAAAGTCCAACATTGTAGATCTTCTGTATCTTTTCCCTGTAAGGATTTTGATCTCTAAACACCTTTGTCCTACGAGTTAAGACCCACAATGATTTTTAACGGAAAAATAATGAAACCCATTTCCTGGATTTTGCATTGAGGATGAAGAAAATTATATCACTAATTTCCTTGACATTTAATCTTTTTTTAAATTATTCCTGCATTCTAGGATTGAATGGCTGCCATCCAGGAGGACTCGTCAGAAACGCCAGCGCACCAGCTTGTCGAGAAAACCGTCACCAAAGATCTCGTAGCGATGATCTGTTTTTGAGGAGGCTGAAGCATAGTAGCGAGGAGAGTATACGTAGAGCAGAAATGGATGGCTACAGGTTAGATATTTTATATGGCAAACTTCGTGTGGAAACTGAAACATGACGATCAGAAATGGGTCTAAGAAGACGCACATGAAGTACTCGGTGTCGAGCCCCGGGAAGCGAGGGGGTCCTACAACTCGGTTTCAAGGTCTTGAAATTTAAAGCATTATGACTCACGTACAGATTGAAGTCCAGCGTTCGAATACGAATCCTGAATACTGTATTTTAAATTGTATTAAATACTCAAGATTCGAATTCAAAGGAAGAAATTATTCGAATAACGGTGTTTTGAATACCTGTGTTCATTTGGATATGAATACTTTTAATATATCAACTAAAAGAAAAATATATGAGCATTTAAACTTGATTTATGTACTTAAGTACATGACTACAGGTCAACTTAAAATAAAATTTTAATACACAGTGACACGGTGTGATTAGACAAATTAGTTGTATAATAAAAAATAATCAGATTTGAATGTACCTACATGACTAAAAAATAAACTTACCTTTTTATACATCTACTTTATTACACACATTATAACACGTATTAATATTTATTATAAAATATAATGGCAAACTGATCTCGTTTTTTAAGCGATCTGTCGGCATCGCGAATTCAGTAGTACCACCGTCCACACAAACAAAATAACTTTGCGTAGCTATTTTGTTTGTGCCATCCACAACCACCGCGAACGTGCTTTAACAGTATTCGAATACCAGGATTTGAATACAAAGAGGGTATTCGAATATTGGGATTCAGAAGCGGTACTGACCACGAAGGTATTCAGTCGAATACCAAATGTCAAACACACAAATGTATTCGAATAGTATTCGAATAGCAGAAAAATGTATCCTGAATACGATTCAAGATACCGAATATTCGAATACTACCCAAGTCTACGTACTAGGCCAGTACAAGATCAACATAGGTATATCACATTGCTGTAGCATGGTTGATTCAATAATCAGTATAGCTTGTAGACCCCCCCCCACACCACTACTACCCCCCAATACTTCACAATTTTTTTGACGGTCTCAATAACACTAATACAACCCTCAATTTCACCTCATGGTGCAGGATACGATGCAGAATTTGGTTCACTGAAATATTTTTAATGATTTAATTATTGACTTTTTCAAATTGATCAACTACTAAAGTTTTCTACCTGGGTCTCCAATTACTGTTGGCAGTTACCAGTCACTGTTGATTGTAGACATGGTGTATTATACCCGCTCTCCTTTCTGTCTTCATCGGAAGATTTCGTCCTACTACAAGGTCCTTCCAGCTCTATTCTTGGCTCTTAGGGGGCGCCCTACAAAGTTTTTGCCTCAAGTTTCGCAGGCCTAGATTCGCCACTCTTGATGATTATAATACTAAATACAGATATCGTCTTCCAAATAATTCACTAGTTTTTATTTGTAGGAGGTTTATTAAGCCACATCTATCAGTGTCACAAAAAGAGCCTGATTTACAACCGAAGGTTAAACCAAGAAGGAGAAATGGCTTAATGCAAACTACTGAAGGCGGATCATTCAATGGGAAAGCGCTACAACCAGAGGTAAGCGTCAATATTCTATGTCGCCCCATTCATTGTTTTACATTTGCTTTATTTCGATGTATACGAGTACCAGAAGTAGTAGGGAGGTGAAGCCTGGCAACTAAGCCACCTTTGAACCTTTTTGTCGGCTTCGTTGTACCAACACTACACAATACACATGCTCACCTACGAGTAACTGATTGTTGTTTATTCAATAAACCAGCTCCAGCGATAGCCTGTAACTATTTGATATTTCACCGATCCAACATTTATGGTTCGAAATATAACTCCCGAGGTCAGGATTCGAACCTGCGAACCTTTGCGTCGATGTGCTAGCTGGACGCCGTAACACATATACCTATCCCCCGTTTCATTCCTACTGTTCCATTTTCGGAATATTCATTAGACATAGCCAAAGAAAAATAAACCCGGTGTTGTTTTAGATGACAGAGCTTCACCACAAAAGATATACAACAAGAACCAGTAGTGCAGGGACATTAGTGATTGAAGAAAGTTTCTTAAAACCTACTCATCGTAGACGTAGAAGAACAGTTGAATTAGAAGTGCCCAGAGAAGAACATGAACTTCGTGGAAGGTAACTAGATTTATGCTATTTCAGTTAGCTGCAATGGAAGCGAAATGGGCGATCTTTGCCAAACAGTGGGTACTGAAATAGAATAGAAACAAATACCACGTATGGGAGTCTCAACGTATGAAGTTTGGCACTGGCGACAATTTAAATTTAAGTGATATTTCGTAATGGTATTCAACTCGCATTTACACAGTTTTAGTACGCATTATCTGTTTGTGAACAACATTCAAAATCTATTAACAAACTGGACAGTTTCGAACAGAATATTTTGATTTCAGGTCTTATGGATCAACCTCCTCTCAGCCGAAAGCTGTTAAATCTGGCCTCTTTCACTCTCACAGTGAGGTATTTCCGTTTGAAAGAGTTTTGGCTTCAAAAAAAGTTGGGAAACCCAGTGAAAGGGTGAATGGAATACAACATTCCACTAGAGAAAGTGAAGCACCGCAGCAGACTCACAGAAGAGGAAGCAAAACCAGAAGAAGTTGCAGCAGCGATTCTCTGGTATTGAAGGAGAGGATAGAGGGACGTGGCAGAATTTCAGGTAAGTGACAACTTTACCTACGTATTACTAAAGCACTTTTGATACGATTCAGTACTCGTATATAGTATGTGATCACATTGGGAATAAATTACACGAATTTTATTGATTATATGAAGCCGGATTTTATATTGATTACGTAAAAATAAGATTTCGGTATCTATTAGTGGTAATCGAGAACCATAGGATTTTCACTAATTCTCTACAAATTATTTGACACTCTTCCAGAAAATAGGAGATAACTGTCAAATTCTAGTCAAATTTATGATTTATTGCTACAATACGAGATGGATAAAGCTAAAAAAAAAAAAAAAAGTACCAAAATAAAGATGATGATCGAGCTGTTGGAAGCTGATCAGTGTTCACAAGGATCGGCTATGTAAATAATAAAAATACAACTGCCAAATTATAAAGAGAAATTGAAGATCTAAAAAATAATAATCGAAGAGAAGAATATTTTATTAGGTAGCTGATAAAGATAGATTAATGGAACAACTAGTAAACGAAGACTCTAGGGTGAAAGAAAAACATTACTTGATTGTTCAACAGATCAAGGAAAAAGAATTATGAAACGTCTAAGGAGGATGGAGGAAAATTTAGATGCTATAGAAAAGAAAGCAAGACATTTTAAACAAAAGTGAAAAGAAAACTGATCAAGTAATTACTGAGCAAAATCTTCAAATTAATAGAATCAATGGGAGAGGATATGATGTGGTGAGATGTAAGAAAAAATAAAATAGAGGTATTGGTAGTTAAGACAAGAACAAAAGTAGCACTGAAACAAAAAATGTTGTAATACAAAAATGTAAACCTGTTAATAAAACAACGCAAGCAAAGAAGGATGTCTAGCCATTCACGTGGAAGACGAAAAATCATTAGCAAAATTGAATGATGAAGCAAGCAGCGGTCGCCGCAGTAGTAGACTCTTCGGTCTCCTGATCAGTTGCCGTGCGCTGTGCGGGTTCGAGTCCCGTCCCAGGAGAAATTTTTCTCTTGGCTATGGATGTTGTGATTGTCCGTACGTGGTAGACGGTCTCGGACTGTCGAACGCGGAGGTACCACCCGGCGGATCTCGTAGGCGGAGCCAGAATGTGTGCATGTTGCATGCACACGTGTTCCCTCGCCAGAGTCCGTGTGGCGTCCCACGTTTTCCCTGTATCCCTCTATAGCCCCACGGTACCCAATGGGTGTTTAGGCATTAGGCCTTTGTGGTAGTTGGAGTATAAAAAAAATGAAGCTGAACTAACATTCGGAGAAGAGTATGAAATAAAAGTTGGCAGTAAAATTAAACCGAAAATAAAAAGAATAAATGTTTGCGAGGCTGAATTGAATGATATGTGAATTCAAAAGCAAAATATTCCTGAATAATTAAGAAGTAGTGAAGTGAAGGTTATCCATAGATACAAGAGCAGCAAAAATAGAAGCCAAGCATGTAGTGTGACAACAGAACTGTCTGGTAAAGAAGATCAGTACTTGCTAGATAATAAAAAGTCAATATGTTTGGGATGGAGTTGTCTACAAGTTTTTCAGTATTCTCCGAAGTTTCCAATTTTATTACTATTAAATATCCTTAATATTTGATATGACCATGATGTATTTGACAAAAGCCAGCAAATTGAAAAGGCCAAGGAATTAATATTTTATGAAAAATAACAGAAAAATCTCGTATAGTGAAGTATTAAGGAATGAAGGACTTTATATTTTATATCCAAGCGATACGTGACTTTTACTACGAGGTCTGTAAATTGAGTGATGAGACTGGCAAAACTGAAAATTGTAATTATATTTGAATAAAAAAATTAAAAAAGTCAGTCTCATCACTTAATTTACAGACCTCGTACGTTCACGTTATTGTAACATTATTGCTTATGGCTGAATAAAAACTTATTCTAGTGCGATACTGTAGTACCCATTGATTCTTTTAATAGCGTATTAATTTTTCTGCGTTTGAATATTAAAGTAGCTGAAGGGAAAGCGCATACTAACCCCAAGGGCTTGCGTTATCTCTCCGCGACTCTAGCGTTAATTAAGTTATATAGGTCGCGTTAATCAAGACCCTGGGAATGCATTAATATGTTATAAGCAAACGATATAATCAAGGAGCAGGTGAAAGTGATGCCTTTATCACTATTAATACGTTAATAATAAATGCCTAGTGTGGTCACAGTCACACTGAAGGTAGTGGGAGTTAAAAAGTAGCATTTGCGAATTCTCCCTCATCATCTATTCGAAGGAAGAATGGAGAAATAACATTCTCGTCCTGTGTCATTCACTGATGGATCCTTTTCCAAGGAAACAGTATCCAGTGGGGCGGGATTATACTTAGAGCTTAGAGAGCAAAGACATGCAGGAAAGCTTCGCGCATGGAACCTGCAGAAGGATCTTCCAATCTGAGATATTTACTATCTTAATGGTGGGATACTCAAAAGAGATTCAGCAGTGCATATTCATACGCTCAGACAGTCAAGCAGCTCTGAAAGCAATGGTATTCCCTAGGACAAGGTCACCCTTAGTTCAAGAATATACCACTGCCCTTCAGAGTTTAGCCTGATCCGAAGAAGTAGGTCCCCGGACACAGCGGAGTGCCGGGTAACGAGAAAGCGGATTGCCTGGCTAGGCTCGAGCCAGAAGCATTTGCATCGATCCCGAGCCTATGCTGGACATAAGTGGTGCCATATCAACACCGCCATGGATGAATAGGTGCATAGGGACCTGGAAATTGGGGCGAGATCTATCACTGCAGACAGGCCAAGAGGTCGCGTCACACGCGCTGGCTACTGGCCAGGGGTAGAGATTCGTTCAACCCTTTGGAGGAGGTTCTCACAGCCCACAGCAGAATAAACAAACACTGATCCCATTAAAGGGTGAGGAGAGATCCTACCTGTCCCATCTGATGGGAGGAGGACGAGATAGCGTTCCACTTTCTGGGCTATTGCCTCGCTTATTGCAGTCTAAGGGCTGAGATATTCGGGGCCATGGAGTTTGATAGTGCTTGTGGAGCAGAGTGTCGGCATACTCAGGTTCGGCAAAAGAGCCCAGCCCAGCTAGGCTACTTGTTTTATTTTTAAAAATACCTGAAAAAGTTATCCACAAAAATTGGTGGCAACTATATGCCCTTCTCTACAGGGTGACTATGTGGGAACACAAACATACTCTATTTATACGGAATACCATGCACATTTTAGTGTGTTCTCAAAGACTTCTCAAAAGGAAGAAGGTTGATATAGGATCATATAACGTTTTGATTGTTAGTTCTTGAGCTACGGTATATTTTGTCAGAAAAGGCACCCAAATTTGACTGCTTCTCAGTTTCTCGCCACTTAACGCTTCTTTAAATTTGTGCGTGGTATATATAGGGTACTTATGTACGCAAAATGAACCGTTTCTTAAGAAAATCAAATGATACAACCTGTATATTTTTGCAGCTTTGGGTCATCCTCTTTATATTAATATGGAATTCTTGCGGGTTATTTTACAAAAATTTTGAGTAGAGTAAAAAATACTCCAGGGATATTTCAACGAGTGCGCAATTGCATGAGAAGGAGGGCGGAAGCATACATATCAAGTGAAGGGGGGCATTTTCAACAACTTTTGTAATCATGTCGTTGGCTTTAATGCCATGTTTATGTCGCATCGAAAAAAAAAAAAAAAACAATTCAAGAGAGATCATTTGTTTTAAATTGAACGGGGAGTTCAAAAATAATCTTTATTTGGAAAAAAACCATTTTTAAAAAATATCGAAGTCAATACCCGCACGTCACTGTTAAAGCTAAAAATTATTTCTGCATTGAAAAATATTATTAACTTTATTAACTTTCACTACGTACTAAATATCAGTGAAATATCTGAAGCGGTTCTGAAAATATTAATTAATTTCCATTTTTTCCTAAAACTTCAACACCCCGAGTTTTTGTAAGGAAACATTTTTGGACTACAGTTTATAAAGCAAACTAACATTAACTTTCGTGTAGATTCAAACTTTTAAATATTCGCATATCAATAAGGAACACCCTGTATAGGTCATTGTATTATTTACGAATCACTCTGTAGATAACTACACATTTTCCAAGAATCCTACCTATAATTACCTTTATTTTTTTTAAATCACTTTTCATATACCTTTCATAATAACCATTCAACGGACCTATTACACACCAAGAATTCATCTTGCATACAGGGTGTTTCAGTTTATTATTGCATTACTTTAAAATTCGATAGAACTTTTAAAATTAATGCATAAAGACTATATAAACATGGGTCGAAAAATGCGTGGCTTCCGAAATACAGGGTGTTTAAATTTACTTTTTGAAATAGTTTTTTTTTAAAATATTTCGAACAGTATTTGATGTATAACAGTGAAGTTTTTTGGTACAACAAAACGAACCATGGGCATAGTTTTACTGTAGCCGCTAGAGGGCGCTCTCTACTGTAATTTTTTGCTTTTTGAATAAAAAAGCTGATTCTTCGCACCTTTCTGCAAAAAAAGCTCTCCTGTGAGTTTTCGTTATAGTTAGCCGTTTTTGAGATATTTCGATTTTTAAGGTTCGATGCATTTTTTATTATTTATGGGAAAATAATATTTTTTTTACATTTTCGATTTGGGCATTACAAGTAATTAAGATGATCGTTTAGATTGTGTTTTTAAACACAGCAATAATTCCTAACTCCAAATAAACACAAAAAACAGAAAATTAATTTGTTTAATTTTCCAATATTATTTTTAACAAATTAAATTAATTATTTACAACTAAAATGCTATTGGATAGCTAGGAATTTGTTAGTAGTTGCTCGAAATGTAAACCCAATTGTTCATTACACAATTCAGATCTACGAATGATCGAAGGTGGTATAGCATTATTCAAATAAGGCCTTATTTCATCACATGCATTCCTGATTCTGTCTATTAGCATCTCTTGTGGTTACGGGAGTCTGGTACACTTTTCCTTTTAGAAATCCCCACACAAAGAAATCTAATGGATTTAGGTCAGGGGATCGTGGAGGCC